TGTATACCGAGCGGTATACCGTTCGGTATATATATATATATATATATATATAAGGCGACGTCGCATCGCCTCGACGACCTCGCCTTTTCCTTCTCCCACGCGGGGCGACGTCGTCGAGTTTATATATATATATATATATATTATATATAAAATATTTTATAAAAGATGACGTCGTGTCGCCTTTTCCTTCTCCCATACGGGGCGACGTCATCGAGGCGACGCGACTTCGCCTCGTTTATATATATATATATATATATATATTTATATATAAAATATTTTTATAAAAGGCGATGTTGCGTCGCCTCGACGACGTTGCCTTTTCCTTATCCCAAGCGAGGCGACGTCGCCTCGTTTATATATATATATATGTATATATATATATATTCTTATATATAAGGTGACATCGCTGAAAAAGGCGACGTGACGTCGTCTTTTAATATATATATATATATATATTTATATATATTTATATATATGGTAACGGGCGGTCCGTGTACCGGTAAGCTGACGTACTGCCCGTATCGGGCGGTATTATTCGAAAGTGCATACCTTGGTCTCAATCCCTTGGAAACCTAGGTGGCATTGAGACATTTGAGGCCTTGGTTATATGACTTATGGATGGTGCAACATATTTAGTGTGCTCTTTTCTTTTCGACGAAAGTGCTAGGTGAATATTGGGCTTGCACCTGCCTTCGGACCCCTTTGTGTGTGACCATTGAGTCTATTTGCGATATAACCTTTTATGTCAACAAAAGCTAATTGTTTTGTATTGCTTGCAATCCTGATTATCTTGCTCATTTTGTGTGTAAGGTGGCATATTACTTGTGTTTTCGCCTTTCTAACTTTTTCTTCTTTGTGTAAGATTAAGGTCTAGGCTGACACTGTATATTTATCATACAAAAGATTTGAGATGTTTGTGCAAATCACTAGGAAGTTAAAACCTTTTATTAAACCATGTAGTTGGTAATTTATGCATTCTAATTTAAATAAATTTTACTCATTTTCCTACTTTTGGTGACACATTCCTTCTGTTTTTGTAGTTATTTTGGATGCTTTCTATAAATGCATTTCTTGAATTTTTACTCACATGAGTAATCTGCAATGTCCTTAGAACTACAATTAAACTGGGATGGATAAGATGATAACAAATGTGCTCAATCTTGACTTTTCCAGGTCTTACTTGCTGAGAAAGACTCAAAGATAGCAGAGTTGGATGCAGCTTCAACAGGTGAAGCTGTAAGACTTGGAGCTGCACTAGAGGAAATGAGAGGAGAGCTTAATCATCTTAGAGACCAGCAAGTAAGAAATTTAACGTTCAGATCTTTTAGTTGATATATGAATTGGACATAGGTTTGGAACTGATTGATAAAATTCTGTGTTGCTTGACCACATTTTCCATATGAATGCAATGTTATATGCTCTTGCAATTGTTGTAGTAGTAAATTAATGTTCTTGTAGTGGAGTGAGTTGGTTTGAATGTGACTGAACTGTTTAACTGGATTCTTGGAATGAAACCAAGGACATAAAACTTATGTTTTCTGATGGCAATCATGTATTATCTTAGGATTGAGGACGTTAAAGTTCTTTACCTTTTTATACATTTTCTAGATCTTGGAGCTCATACTTGATTCTTACAGAACAATATACTGAAGTAAGTTGGTTCATGTTGAAATTGTTGTGTTAAGCAAGCAAAGCTGACACTTGTATGATATTAATTGATCTTCTCTATTGAAGGGTGGTTTGCTTACATCATACCAGTGCTAGACCAGGAATGACCAAGTTGGATGTTCTTGGATTTGGTTGTATTTTAAGAGACATTTTGTTAATTGTTGGATTTTAATGATGCGAGAGATCACTTATATAGTGCTACTTCTTTTACCATTTATCTAGAAGGAAAGGGCAAATCCTTCATGTGCCACACATCTTTGTCTGCATATTTACAATATCCTATTTGCCAGTATTTTTCAAACCTTCTTGTGGAAGTATTAGATTATAAGAAAAAGGATCAATCATCTCTTTGATATTATTGGCCATGGGATTTATTCGGATAGGCAGTTATAAGCATGAGGATTTGCTGTCTAGCTCAATATCGTCTAAGAACTTTCTTCTCTTTGCCCTTGTCTTTTCAGTCGTAAACAGTGATTTCAATAGGCGCTCGGGCGTTCGCCTAGGCGTTCGGGCGAGGCGAGGCGAGGCCCGAGCGCCTCGCTTCACTTCCAGGCGGCGCACTTCAAAGAGGCGCCGCCTGGGCGCTCGCCCGAGCCTAGGCGCCGAGCGCTTCGAGCGAGCGCCTGGGTTAAACCAGGCGACTGAACTAACGTTTTAGGTCTGGTTCGGTCTCCGGTGCTTTAGTTGGTTCAATCAAACCAACTAAAACATCGATATCAACTGCCGCTGCCCAACCCTAACCCTGCTCGCGTTCACACTACCGCTGCTATTGCTTGCTGCCGCTGCCGCTGTCGCTGCTCGTCGCTCCCGCTCCCGTTGTCGCCGCTCGCCGTTGTCGCTGTCGCCGCTCCCGCTCCTGCTGCCGCTGCTCGCTGTCGCAGCCACTGTCGCCGCTGCTTCTATCACCGCTCGCCGCTCCCGTTCCCGCTGCCGCTGCTCGCCGCTGTTGCTGTCGTCGCTCGCCGGTCTCGCTGCCACTGCTCACCGCTATTCGTTGCCGCTCCTGCTCCTGCTGCCGTTGCCACTATCGTCGCTCGCTGCTCTCGCTGCCGCTGCTCACTTTTATCGCTGTCGTTGCACCCTCGGTCTTCCCTTACACTCCTCTTCCTTCTCCTCTTTCGAAAGTATACTGTTAACAGTATACTACTGTTAATAGTATACTGAATACTGTTAACATTATACAGTATACTAGTAACAGTAATGTATTTGTATTTATTAGATTAATGATATATTATTTTGATTTTAATACTGTTAAATAATTATATTTATTAATTATATTATATATTTTAATATTTTAGCGTTTCGCTTCGCTCGGGCGAGCGCCTAGCGCCTCGGGCGTTTTTGGACCTTGGCGCCTTTTGGCGCCTAGCGCTTTTTAAATCACTGGTCGTAAACCAATTGGCTGGATCTATGTGTTGTAGTTGTCATCTTGGGTGGCATGAGCAAAATATTGTTCCTCACTTAACGCGTCACGTCGCTTTGAAATTCGATCCGCATCACTTCCTAACATACGACCATACTCGAACCGAGTACCTGCGTCTTCTCAGTATTCCTTGATCTGTTTAGAAATAAATCAAGATGGTAGTGGTGGATCGCCATGTCCATAATTGTGTCATCCAGGTTCTCTTCTATATGCAACAAGTCTATCATCAGATCTCAATCATCTTGATAAGACTGTGGAGTAAATGGATTTAACTCAAGCTTCATTTATTCCAACTCATGGCTGGGCAGTTGCAAAGATACGTCATAGTGGACTCATTTCAATTTCTCCAAGTGTTTGCATAATAGCTAGTTGTAAACTTTGGTGCGTATTAATGAGATTATGGGTTAATTACACTAACAGCCACTGGATGATGTGGTGTATGATAGGAACCATATTGTAATTGTTCTCAAGTGAGAGATGTGGATCCTTCATATTGTACCCACTTGTAAATCACAAAATGACAATTGAGTTAAGATCGTAAATGTGATTGAGTCGAACAAATTATAGACTGTAATTTTGATGCCAGGATCCATATATTGGCATGAAATGATAGTGTTCTTGCTTAATATGCCATAGACTTCTTGAAATAGATGCCTTAGAGCAAGGTCATTAAGTAATTTTTCGTGACTTGATGTGCTAAACTGTACAAGAGCAATATGGTGTTATTACTAATGGCACTGATGACATTTACACCAAAGTTTGTCATTTCTGGTACCAGACCCATGTTGGTCCATGGTTGGACTAATACAGGTCTGGTCTATGTTGGTATACTAACACATGATACATACTATAGTAATCTGTGCCCCCAACTCGACAGCATTGTGTATTGCCACTTTTGCATAGCTCATAAGTATTATTATGCTACCCAAGGTATGTAATTTCGAATGGTACCGCTCGTACCCGACGGTACGTATCGGTCCGACGACATACCGGTATGCGGACCGCTCGTTATCGGACGGAACGTGCTACAGTGCTACGGTAAGAGGAAGAAATATTTAAAACCGCTCGGTAACAGTGATACAGTGCTCCAACGATCAAATCCTTCTTCTAGTATTTAAATCCTTCTCATAGTATTTAAATCCTTCTTTCCTATTTCACTCTATTACATTATGATACTCTTAAACTATCTCAAACTCTTTTTTTCTCACATTTGTGCTCTCCTAAACTCTACAAAACAACGATTTGTGAATTGAATCGAGGTTAATTTGGGAAGATTAAGAGGAAGAGCTTTCTAATCAAGAGGTATGTTTACATAAGGACTATCCATAATGGACTGAAATACGAACATTGCATAAGATATTCTTCAAAGCTCGAAAAAGATATGTGATACTATTTTTACCTAATTTATATTGATTTTGCTAAACTTATGCTATTACTATATTTATTTCTAACTTAAAAATCTTATCCTAACTTTTTTTTTATTTTCAGGTATTTTTGAAGGGTTTTTCACCTAAATTAGGTGTACCGCTAGGTACGCCCTGGTGTACCGCTCGGTTCATGGTACCGTACCGTACCGAGCCAGCCTCGAAATACCAGTGCGGTACGGTATTGCATACCTTATTGCTACCACATGTTGACACTTTTGACTATGGAGAACTAATTGAACTGAGATGGTCAAATATCATTGCCACTGCCATATTTGTATCAGGATGAATCACCAAACCCATGGTGTTTTATGGCCTCTTGCATGTACTGTTGCTTCAATGATGTATGAGTGCTACAAGCTCAGGATTCTCGTTAACATTGCCCATCTGATCCTCATATTCATCACAAACAGGCAGCTCAGATGCCACTTGTCCGGGTCCTCCCTCTGGGTTATTCCTGCATCTTTAAAACATTCAATACTGCCCGAAAACCTCATTTGATTTCTTGGAGAGGCTTCATACATTTAGTTATGTTGGGGAATCCTCTAGCCAAATATTGCTTCAGTTGGGATATTCCTAAGCCTCGACCAATGTAGTCACAGGTGGATGCATTGTCAAGTGATTAGCGATGATCCAATCATCCAAGCAATGAATACGCTATCACATGGGATTGGTACTTTGTCGCTTTTATACAAACAATAACAAACTGATTTAGGCAGCAATTATGGAAGTTAGACTCAGATGTTGGAATATGCAAGTACTGCCTACATCTAGATAAGATCTTCGTAGGTATAAAGCTCAATCATCATGGATCTAGGTCAGATTCCTGTGGATCTAGCCTAAATGTGCTCTATGTAATACACAGATTTGACCTGGATCTGTACAAATCTAGCCTACATTTGCATGGATATGAACATATCTAGCATAGATCTAAGAAAATTTAGGCCATATTGGTATGATTCTAGCCTAGATCAATGACAATTTAGGTCGTATAAGTACATATTTAGCCTAGGTCTATGTGAATCTAGTCCAAATCTATGTGCATCTAGGCCAGATTTGAATGGGTTCTGGCTCGGTCTGAATGAAATTTCAATGGATTTGGATAAATTGTAACTGGATCTGAGTGATCGAACATAGAATCAAGTTGATCTATATGCTAGATCTGTGCATGTCCAGCCTCACTTAGACAAGAAATCACCTGGCATTTATCCACAGATTTGGGAGGGAAAGCTAAAATCTAAGTTAAAAGCTATGAAACCATGACCTTAAGGTAAAGAAATCACAAGAATACAACTACAATTGACATCAAGTCACCAATTTGTGTTTGAGGCAAGGATTTTAATTTCGAATGATTTGTTGATGACGAGACTTGATGTACTTGAGATCAACCTCAGATTTAAGAAAGATCAAGTTTGTAGAGTGAGATTGAGAGTGCTTGGTGAAAATATGAGGGCTTTAATTTTGTGTGAGAGCTGTTTAATCCAGATACCTGGCAGTATACATACCATTTAGTACATTTATCAAAACCAGGTGTTAAGTCTGGTCCGATGACCATATTGGCTGTTAAACTCAATATGAAATAATACTGAGCATTCAGAATTAGACCTGTAAATACTGGCCCATGTTGATTGGTATGGGTGAACATAAATTTCTTGATGCAAAATTTTCAGGTTGTGGAATTCCTGAATGCATAAATATTAATTGATCTATAAAAGCATAGAAGAATCTTTTTATTCACCTTTGTGTTATTGTTCCGTTTATGTTCACCTTTGTGTTTTATGGTCATAGATCTGCAGAAACAAAAAGGCTACTGTTCCTCCAAATTGGCAATTATTGAACATCTTGTAGTGTATTTTACATCTATGCCTTCTTTGCTTATCTTCTTTCAGGATAGAGAAAAACAAAACTGGGAAGCAGCTTGTCAGTCTCTCCGAACTAAGTTGGAGGCATCTGAGAACACATGTTTGCGATCTGAGATTGAATTAGCTAAAATGAGAAGTATGTTTCATTTAACTTTGTTTAAGAAATTTTAATTTATGAGGATAAGTAGATGTTATTTCTTGTTTGTTTTTTGTAGGTCAGTTGGAACTAGAATCATCAACAAAATACCAAATGTTGAGTGCAAAAGATGCTGAACTTATAGTTGCAAAAGATGAGGTACAATTAATTTTATTAGCCAATTGGGCTTTACAATATTTAGTCTTATGTAAACATGGTAGGTTTTAGTAAGAAGATTCTATAAATTTGCTTGAGGTTTGGTTGGAAAGGCGAGTTCTGGTGATTATGTCTTGAATTTTGGGCTTTTTTTCCCATAAAAGAAACAGATAAAGTTACAAAAGGAGAAAGCAAAAACATGTTAAGCATCACTTAAGAGATTTTAAATTTGAGCAATCTTATAATCATAAGAATAGGTTGTACTCATATGTAGGTGTAACTTATTTTCATCCTATATGATTATCAATATGACTTTGCTGAAATTTATAAGATGATGGGCTTATATGCTTTTGATTCATTATAGCTTCAATTGGTAGTTGAAATTGTCTTTAATTTTTCTTTAGATCTTGCTGCTATGCAACCATCCTTAAAGATTCTTGAATGAGGGGACATGTCTCGTTCATATGATATTTCTGAAGCATCTACAATTAGCATTCTAATTTTCCAGTTTCACACTGGCACCATCCAGTATGTGTAAGACAGATAGACCAATTGTTTCGCAGATGTAGATTTCAAGAGACATCTCACACAGAGGGGTGCACAAGTTCCAAATTTGTTTGGTTCTTTAAAGTATTTCCTAGCCTACTGAATTGTTCATTTCTCAAGACTCGAAACCAGATAAAGAAAAAAACATAAGTTGTATGGTTTGGTCCAGTCTTGTGTTTGGCTTCTAAACTGTAACTAAATGCTACATATATTGATTAAAATATACATAAAATATATTCATGATCAATAATATGTTTATTTATTTTTATATTTTAACTATTTTATTATGGTTGAAAAATATCATCCACTGCATTTATGAGAGTAAATTATACTACCACTATATTTTTTATGTAAATATGAATTTATGATATCAAGTTCAGTATGTTCTGGGCATTTTTTTGAATCACGAACTATGCTAGACCATAAGTCACCGAGTTTGAATTTTTCAAACCTAATTGAATCATTTAGTTATTTTGGATTTTGGTGTGTGGTTCATTTGCATGCCGTTGACCATGCAAATATAGTATGTGCAGTATATTTCTATATATATATTTTTGAATGAAAGTCAATAGTGTCATTAAAAAAAGACCCTGAGATTATATGTAGTAGAGATACATGACTAAATTCTTTTGATCATCACTCTTGAACTACATCTTGCCTAGGAAAAAGATGCTAGCTCTACATCAATATTTAATTTCTAAAAAATAAGCCACTAGTGTTGCTAGTTTTCCTTCAATTATGCTTTGCATGTTCACAGAAATTTGATTTTAAAGATTCAGGTGCATCCAATTAGGTGAAATTTCTATCCTTTAGATTTATTTTAGTTGGCTGTAACTTATGGAAATTTGTGGAAATCTACTTGTATTCACCTTGAACAATTAACATTAGACAAATCATAGCTTTAAAAATGCCTAGTAGTTCACAAGCAGTGGATCTTTAGGACAAATCTCCCTGGTTATCCATCCCGATTCCAGTCCTTGCACAATTGTAGTTTACAAAATTTATACTCAAATGTAAATGCCTTTTCCAATAGTTACTTTTGATTTTATTGAAAATTTATCTGCTTCACAATTTGCATTTTTGCAGATCATGCGACTGGAAAATGAATTTTCCGCATATAAGGTTCGTGCACATGCACTTTTGCAGAAGAAGGATGCTGAGCTAGCTGAAGCTAAGAACTCAGAATTGCTGAAATCTCTTGAACAAGCTGTGAAAGTATTTAATTTTTTATCTTCTATTTTAACAGTCCACTGACATCATTGAAACTGTTCTCTAAGTTACTAGCTGCTCATTATTTAGGAAGCTGAAGCAGAAGTAGCAATAACCTTAGCAGAAAGAGAGAAAGCTGTTAAAGCTCTTGAAGTTGCTTTGAAGGAACATGATAAAGAGATTGCATCAAGGTAAAGTTACTGATGGAAATATAAGTAGAGGTTAAAGATTGTTGAATTGCATCTGATTTTAACTGATCATTGCATTCGCCAAGGCATTTTCAGTTTCATGAATAATTTAGTGCTGCACCATAATACGAATTATAATCCGAAGTCAGCATTCAGGTCCACCTTTGTGACTGTTGTAAGGTCATCTTTTAGTTATTTGTTTGAAAATTACTTATAAGCATCTTATTTGCTGGAAAAGGAGTTAGATTCTCTGATAATGTTTTTTTTAGAGAGAAAATTTAGGTAAGATCCATAAAACCAGGTGCCTTAACCATGGGCATTTACAGGTAAGCCTGAAGCTGTCCTGTGCCTGTCAGAGGAGATGGCAACCATCTCCATTTTCATGGAAGCCACTGAATTTGGTATTCTTTTATTATTTAAATTTAGTTCGTTGTCAAAATTAACCTTGCTCGCTACAGTTAACTGAACAGTCTAAAACTTAGGGTATTACATGTAATTCCAAATGTTTCTTTGGCAAATCCTTGGGCATTTTCTTCTCCAGAAAGTCAGAAGTCGAATCTTTTTTTTGTAGATCCTCCAAAAATTTTTTTTAGATATCCTAAATATTGTTATCTGAAAGGATATATTTCCATGTTCATAAGTGTGAGGTTCTAAGTTTTTTAGTTGCTTTCCCTTGGCCGGTTATCATGTTTTTCTGTGTTGTCTAATGTAACTATGTTTATTGAGTGGAATTTGTTAATTAAATTGTATGAAGTTCTAGAAAAGATTTTTGATTGCATACGATATGAGAATGTAGGATAGTCAGGAAACAACAATATATAACTTCCCACTAATTATGTAGCCTTGAATTTATTGTCACTGGTGCGTGTGAATTCATGAACTTTCAACTTAAACAGCTTGGACGTAGTTTTCCCTAGTATATACTTGATAGCTACAAATGATTTTGTAACTTCTATGCATGAGTTTTATAATTTTAACCTGATATTTTTATCAGGGATACTGCTCTTAGTGATGCAGAGGGTCAAATAAGAAGTATAACCATGAAACTTGAGTCTACCACTGCTCGCTACATGTCAGAAAAAGATATGTGGCAGAAAAATTTGGAGAGTATCGAAGAAAGTTGGACATGTAAAGTTGTAAACCATCTCAGATCTATAGCTTTTCCTGTATATGTTTTTTGTGCATATGTATTTATGGTGACTTGGATATTTTAGTAAAATATGGCACCTTGGAGGCTCAAAAAGTTGAACATTCTGGAGATCAAATGCAAAAGGAGCTAGATGATCTTAAGCAACGATATGAGAAACTGAAGGTATCTTGCACTCATGTTGGCAATTTGTTTCAATCCAGCTTGTTACAAACTAAGGTTCTTTTATTTGTAGGAAGAGCATGATATCTTTCGTGATATTGCTGATAGAACAATTGAAGAGAAAGAGAAGGACATGGCGAAATTGATAGAAGATAATAAGAATCTTCGTCACTTATTGGAATCAAAGCAACATGTATATATATTCTTATCATCCTTTTTCTACTACAATCAGTAACTTATATTCCAGTTTACTGCTATATTTTAGTTTGAGATTTTCTATTGCTTTAACTGTGAACTGATGAACATCATATTTCACTAGTTAATTTGGTTATGAAATTTTGAGCTTGAGTTCTTTTATGCATGTTTTAGATTTTTGCACAATGGAAAATATGACTACAGCATTGCAATGAGGATTTTTTTGAGATGATCATTCTATGAAATTTATCTGATGCGAGAGAAAAGCAAAGAGGGAACGGTGATATGAGAGAGGAAAAATTTTAGATCGAGAGTTACTTATTGCCTGAAGGTTGCTCTGCAAAGGGTGTTTCAATAGTTATTCTAGTATGGTTATGGTAAGAAAAGTATTACCTCCACGTTTAACATCTTGTATATACGAAGGATTTCCTAAAAAATTTTGGACGATCAACCTTTTTACTAAAAGGATACCTTACAAGGCAAGGTTTGTCGTCTCATGCCATATAGGTGATGCCAAACCTGGCTCGGGCTGGTATGTATTGAGCAAGGTATACAGTTTCGAATGATATCGCTCGGTACAGGCGGTATGTACTGGTCTGACAGTAAATTGGTACACGGATCGTTTGTTACCGAGCGGTATTTTTTTATTTATAAATAAATAAATAAATAAATAAATAAATAAATATATATATATATATATATATATATATATATATATATATAAAGGCAACGTCACATATTTTTTTTTTACTTTTATATATAAATATATATAAATAAATAGATATATAAAGAAAAGATTATTTTATAT